CTTTGAACCACAGGTGCTGCCCTGATGAAAACATTTTTAATGCAACTTGAAGATATTACTTTGTCCAAGTCTCAAGTTGTCCTTAAGGATAAACAGATCTTACCATTTTCATTTCACAGTATTTGGCTTTTCTCTGGTGCTGGGGACAGTCAGGCATGGCTTTCTGACCCCAAACTCTACTTTCCATTACACTGAACCACAGAAGTTAGCAAGGTCTTTCTTAGGTAAAAAGATTATTTCACCAATAATTTTTTTTAGTGGCGATATACACATATACATACCCATATATATTTAAATTGTGGTAAAATACACACAACATTTAGCATCCTAGCCACTACGCAGTGGCATTAAATACATTCACAATGTTGTGTGGTCTGCACTACCCATTCCAATACTTTAAGATACATGTTTTTACATATTTTGAGATACATTCAAATCTGTCACAGAAAAGATCCTTCAAAAACTTAAGTTTTTGTTGGCTCATGGTTGGTGTTAACCAGAGGTCCCTCAGAAAGTGCTTTCTCTATGCCGTCTGTACAGTTTCAGGTAGGGGCAGTTAAGAATGAGACCTGCTGGTTTCTGTGTCACATGAGAACATTAAGGACAACAAAAACATTTACTTCAAAATATTTCCAATTATTTTCGGCAGTGGCTGAGGGTGGTGCAGTGGTTCACCCCTGTAATCCCAGCACCTAGGGGGCCCAGGCAGGTAGATTGCCTGAGCTCATAGGTTCGAGGCTGCCTGAGCCACAGCGAAACCTCGTCTCCAAAAATAGCCTGGCATTGTCCCAGGTGCCTGTAGTTCTAGCTACTTGGGAGGCTGAAGCAAGAGAATCGCTTGAGCCCAAGAGTTGGAGGTTGCTGTAAGCTATGACGCCATGGCACTCTACTGAGGGCGACAAAGTGAAACCCTGTCTCAAAAAAAACCCTTTCAAATTGTTTTCAATAACAGATCTTATTCCCCAAACTTAAAAAACGGAATCATTACATCTTCATAATGAACCAAACCCATTTAAGACACCTGGCGTCATAACCTTTAAGTTCTAAAGATTAAAAAAAATCGGGCCTGGCTCAGCACCCATAACTCAGTGGTTAGGAAGCTGGCCACATACACCTAGGCTAGCGGGTTCGAACCCAGTCCGGGCTGCTAAACAATGAAAACTACAACAAAAATCAGGCTTTACCTCCTTGTCTTTACACATTCAAGCGCTTTCTAACACTTATTCTGGGCTTCGAACCAACTCTGAGCTCCTCGGCCAGCCCCTCGCCCCAACCCGGAGGTCGCCCATAGCCGGGCGCCCGCTTACCTTCGGCCCCTGGCTCCACCAGCACCCGGAGGCTCGCGAATCGCCGCGCGCCGTCCCCGCCGCCGGCCGCCCACTCCGGCCGCCCGAGGGCCGCGCCCCGGAGCTGGGCCCCTATGGACGCAGCGCCGAGAGGCCCGTTAGCCCGCCAGGACCCTGGTCCCCACCCCCGGCCGTGAACCCCTCGGCCCCTCCCAAGGAGGACTCGACCCGGGCGTCGCACCCGCACACAGCAGCGCGCGGCAAGGGACGCGCATTCTGACCGCCAGCGCCATCTTGACCACGCCGGGCAGACCGGGGTCACCGCGCAGTGGCCGCGCCTCCTGGCGGAGCGGGGCGGGGCTGAGGGCAGGTGCCCTCCGGCAACCCGGCCCCGCCCCTTCCCGCTCCTCCAGGTTGCCCCGGCTGCGGTCAAGAGGTCAGTCCGGCCGCGCCGGGGACTGGAGAGGGGGTAGGGCTACTAAGCAGGAAGACCCAGGCAGCCCCTTCCAGGCAATGCTGACTCACCCCCACCCCAGAAATGGGGGTAAAGGTCAGGGTGCGGGCCCTCCAGAGCAGGCCATTTATACAACTAGTGGCAAGGCCCAGAGTGCCCCACACCCACTGTGGAGTCCCAGGGCCAGGGCCAGGCCCAGGCTGAGAAAATACCACCCTGCTTCCTGCTTTTGGTGCTGTCCACTGACCAAAGTTCAAAATCTACAAAGGCGGGATGCTGCAGGTGGCAATTGTGAGCTTAAGTGGTAATAAGGGAGCCAGACAAATTCTTTGCTAGACTCAGCAATCACAGCACCTGAATGAGGGGACCTCAGGCGAAGACAGGTCCTGCCTGTGGTGGAAGTCCTCCTGCTTCTCTGGGGAACAAATCGGAGCTGGGAGCTTAGACACACAACTGGGAGGCAGGGCAGCATTGCAAGTGGTTGTGAACAGACCACCCAACTTGCCCATGAGAACCCCAAGTGTACAGAAGCCAGACAACATCGTTGAAGGCCAGCAGGCACCCTCAAGAAGGCCATGGCACTTCTTAAAACACTTTATTTGAATACAGAAAGGACATGAATTAAGGTGCCCCTGGCAGGGCAGGGCAATGAGGGGTGGGAAAGCAGGCCCCTTTATTGTCTGATGGGGTCTTGTCCTGACCATTTGAAGCACTGGGCTTAGCTGTTTTGGGCGATCCTGACTTGTTCTGTTATCATCTGAGCATTTCCAATTCTTTCAAGGTGGAAAAATATTTTATTTTTTCTATAGCTACTTAATACAGTAGTAGCAACTAAGATTCCTGTTTCTGGTCTGGCAGAATCTGAAGCTTCTGAGATCAAGGTGATTGATACCCATCTCTCCTATCTGTCCAGAGGAGCAACTGCATACCTGTAGCACACTGGCTCTGTGCTCTCCTGGCTGAAAGCTCTGAAAGTGTCACTTTGGAAATGAAACCAAAATTCAGTTCTTATTGGGGAGCCAGGAGTCATTAATAATTAAGTGTTGTGGGGACTAAGGGAAGGAGGCAGTGATACCAGCATTCTTCACTCTAATCCTAGGTTTATTCAACACAACTCCTTCATTCTACACAACAAAGTACAAATACAATGTTATCTAAAATGCTACAAAGTTACAAAACTCAAAACAAATTTTATAGTACTAACTGTACAATAAAAGCAAAAAGAAGCAATATACATGTTGCCAAGGTAACCTGCAAGACAACCACCATGAAAGACAGGCCCAGTGGTGATTCTGTGCCAATACTACAGCACTGGCCCTCACCAATTTCAGAGAACAGGGGGACGGGGGTGTGGCATGTGTGCAAGTACACCAATAGACAACCATCTATGGCAACTCTCAAGGTTAGAAGAAGACTCAAGCAGGGGGCAAAAAAGTACAGACCTTGGCTGTGCAAAAGTGGCTCCCTTCCCCAAAGGATGCTGCACAGTAACAGCAAAGGCGCAACTATGCCACCCATGATAAAGAAATCAAGTTCCCAGGCTGGGCCACACTGCCACCTAGGGTCTTGCCTATCACTGGTGGCTTTGCCACTGAACTCTCTCAGATAGTGGAAACAGGTAAGTTTTCTAGTCAGAAAACAGGGCCTTTTTATAGGCACAACCCCTAACTGACAACACTTCTGCAGCTAGAAACCAGCCTGCAGAGATGTCTCAATAGCTGCCTTGAAAGCCTGCATGAGTGAGGGATTCCCTTTCCTACTGATCCTCCTTTGGCTAGGAAAGTGACAAAACTGACCCAGATGGGATAGAATGTAAATTACAAGGGGGGGATGATCTTCAGTGGCCCTGCTTATCGGGAGGAGTTGGAGCTGGAGCGGCTCCTGTGGCGGCGGCGGCCAGGGGAGCGGGATCGCCGGCGCACAGGAGACCTACGCCTCGGGGAGCGGGACCTGTGTGGGAAGAGAAGACACCGTGTCAGACTGGGTGTGGGTTGCATGGGGAAAGGGTTTTCTTTCTGGAACAGTTTCCTATAGTTTTACTTTTCAACACTAGAGACCTTCCATTGGATGGGAATGACCTGAAACTCTTGGGAAGGGAAAAGGGTGTTCTTGTGACCAAAGGCACAATCTGAGACTCTCTTCTATCTCAGTGCTAAAGCAATAAAGTTCAAGGCCACTGGTCAGGGAAGACTAAACTGAAGCTTTTGCTAAAGGGACTGTCCCCACCCTGACTCTAACCCCTCTTGTCTTCTTTGCTAGGAAGAGAAGCTGGCCTGCACCTGGTCTTAGGATCCAGTGGTCTCCCTGGGAAGGCCATTCTGCATCACTGTCCAGACTCAGAAAGGAGCGCTGGCACAACTCTGGGCCTCTTCTGCCTGTCACTCACTGCAGCCATGGCCCTGCTTTCTCTAGCAACTCTGAACGACCTACTCTTGGTCACCTTCCATTCCACAAAGCAGTGGAGAGCAGAGATGAATAAAAGATCCCCAAGTCATCTTATTCACATAAGGTTCATGGCCACATCAGTCTGTGACACTCCAAATTGATTTACCTTCTCCTCATCCGTGGGGGAGACCTGCGCCACATGGGAGGCGGCGGCAGCATTCTCCTGGGAGGGCTGAATCGCCTCGGTGGTGGCCTAGGCCAGGGGGCGAGCACAGCAGTGGCAGTGATCTCTTGGCCATCGATTTGTCCTGTTGAGAAAAGGAGCAAAATATAAAATATCTAGAAAGTACCTACCCCAAGCAAAGCATGCTACCATTATGAACAAGGCAAGCCTGGGGAATACAATGATAAACCTAAAATATTCACAGAAACATCAGGACTAAAGTTTCATCTAGAAAAACTACAAGGAGAACGGAACCTAACAGTGGATGCAAACCTTAGTGTGTTGGGATAAATCCCTGAAGAAGTGCCACCCAAGCCGAGACCTAAAGAATGGGCTAGAATCTACTAGGTGGAAAGTACCTAGAAGGGAAGTACCCAGCCCTGAGCTGGGAAGACGTTAAGCATTAGTGAGGGAAGGTAGGAAGTGGGGCAGTAGGGTGTAAAGGGGTCCCTCTGGGCAAGGCCATGAAGGTGGTATCAGCATTTGCGTTTCCTTCTCAAGGAGGATAAGAAGTGGGCCATGAGGATGGGTGACATCAAATGAAACGGGAGAGAAGTTGAGCATGGTGGCATCTGTAATCCCAGCTACTTGGAGGCTGAGAAAGGAGGATCACTTGAGTACAGGAGTTTGAGACCAGCCTGCGCTGGTAAGACCCTGTCTCTTAAGAAAATTAAAATATTAGTCAGGTATGGTGGCTGCACCTGTCCAGTTACTCAGGAGGTTGAGGCAGGAGGACTGCTTGAACCGAAGAGTTCAAGGCTGCAATGAACTTCCATCAAGCCATTGGACTCCAGCAACAGCTAGACTCTGTCTCTAGAAATAAAATAATGGACTGGAGGGGATTGCAAGTGATTATCTGGATAAGCTTCCACCTACTGAGATGTGGGGCTGTGTGGGGAGCAACGAGAAAAAAATTTCAGGAAGCATTGGGTACTTTATATTAAGAATCTAAACAAGAGGACTGAAAGAGGTGACTCTACATGTAAAGTATTCATTCATTCATTCAGAGACAGAGTCTCCTTCCAATGCCCTGTGTATGGTGTCATCACAGCTCACAACAACCTCAAAATTCCTGGGCTCAGGCAATCCTCTTGCCTCAGCCTCTGGAATAGCTGGGACTACAGGTGCCTGCCATGATGCCCAGCTAATTTTTCTACATTTAGTAGAGACAGGGTCTCGCTCTTGTTCAGGCTGGTCTTGAACTTCTGAGCTCAAGGGATCCTCCTGCCTCAGTCTCCCAGAGTGCTAGGATCATAGGTCTTAACCACTGTGCCCAGCCTACATGTTCAATATTTAAATATCTCTGTGGGTGCCAACACCACAGCAAGAGAAGGCAGTGGCAGATGGAGGTCCCAGAGAAAGAAAGAACAAAGGAAATTCAAAGCACAGGTTTGGAGCCTGTAGCACGGTGGCACATACACCGAGGATGGTGGGTTCAAACCCAGTCCAGGTCGGCTGAAAAAAAAAAAAAAAAAAGGCTCGGCGCCTGTGGCTCAAGTGGCTAAGGC